TGCTACGTTTTTATTATTTGTGTTTGATAAGAAAAAAGCTAAGATTTCAATAGTTGGGCCAACTGAGGTGGGAAGGGGCTCGTATACTGCTGTAATAAAAAAAATACGTATACCTTCCCTTACCCTCTACAACCTTCAACCCAAAATTATCAGCCCCTACATTTTTTTTTAAATAGTCAGGAGCCTCTGAACATCAAAAAAAGTTTGAGCGATATTCATTTTTTCGTGTTCTTGCACATAGCTCCGCTACCACTGAATCGAATTTCAAAAACTACAAAGACTTTTTATTCTTGGCATAGTAGTAATACTGTGTAAGAATTTCATCAAGATCAAAGAGGTACTTCTCAACTTATAGGCGGAAATGGGAGACATGTTTTTCGTGCATAATATCCAAAAAAGTGTTTGAAAATTTTCGCAATTACAGCACTTCCTCGCCAGTACGCGTGGGAAGTAAAATCATCAAGTAATATCAAGACCACCTGAATACTTGACTTGATCTTAAGCCAAGTCAGGTCAAGTATCTTAAAAATCAAGTCACGTAGTGAATCACTATCTTTGAAGGCCACCAAGACGTGGCATTTAAGCTTCAAACATAGCTTACTTGGTTCAGACGACGATTCACGTTCAAGCCTACCATTCGAGTTCTGGCACCCCTAGCAATCACTGATGTACCTGTCCCTGAGCCCCTCACATTTATATGCGTTGCCCGCAATGGTCTCGACATACATATACTTACGTAATATCCAAATGTACCTGACTATAACAGCTATCCACCCTCCGACTACTGAACGACTAGTAATGAAGCTGTTTCTGGTAGCTGTTGCAGCAACAACTGTTGCGTGTTTATAACTGCGCGATGAACCCACCGGATGTCTTGTATACGACCACGCAGCCATGTCGTCCTCTTAAATTGGCCCTTTTAGAAAATTGTGGAGGTTTCCCTAAGGTTAATGTTTACCAGGGTTAATTATGATATATACATTCATATCACATCTAAAAGTCTTTGCTAGGATTGTACCTAGCGCGACATGAAAAAACGAATCAACGGTGTTAAACATTGCTTCTCATAAAGGACTCTCCCCTCTCAATTTATTTTTTGAGTGGGTCAAGCAAATTAAGTTCAAATCGGAGTCAACGGGGTCTGCCATGACCAACGAATTCGAACACATTATGAGTCAAGCCTATATGCTTGCATTGCATTGTTTGTCGCCAAAATTGCGTAATCTTAGTGTACACTTTTGACTGATTTCTCTGAGGCTTGTGCTGCTCTTTGGAAATCATGTAAGAAGTAGCACGCCTTGAAATCGTCTAGCACCAGAATTATCTGCAAACACTTGCACTTTTAAGAAATAATACTAAGACTACAAATTCAATGACATAACTGTTAACTAGCTGACCTATGTCAGGTGTAATTTGATGCTCACTACAGACTACGAGAATGAGGAGACAAATCAATCCTTGACAGGCCTCGTCTACCTAGTTTGAATTCGTTGGCCACGACCCGGGCGAATTACAGACTTGCTTGCTTTTTACGTGTGAATTAAAAAGATTTGTTTTAAGTAGTCCATTTATAATTTGTAAGATACGTTTTTTACAAACGTCCTTTCTTTATGTCGTGCAAGATTATATTTTCTAATGGTATACTCGTATTTCAATTTTATATCTGTTGTTTTTTTAATTGATCGTTGAAATTATCTTAATCTAAATTTCTGCCTGATAATCTTAACAGAACATTTAAACATCTGGATGGGAATGATAAAAGGTGTCAACATGTGTAAATTCAATTGGAGGTCTGTATATATTGCTAGTATTAGTAGCCTCAATGAGTTGTAAAAAAATTGTCCGTCTATAATTGAAATAATAGAACAATTCATTATTAAACACCAATCACATCCGCTAGTAAAGACGTAATGCAAAAATGCATTTTGAAATAGCTAAAGTAGACTCTAATTCAGAAGCAAGCACAATTTGATGCAAATTGTTATATCATGTTTTATCAGCCTGAAATTTCCTACAGTTTAAAAGGAAAACAAATCTTCACAATAGGAGAGCGCTAACGCTGACACGGGACAAGTGTAATCTAGAAATTTTTGAAGGAGAGAAAGCAGTATGACAATCAAGGAGGCCATAAACGCGCCCTACAATTGTAGGGACGACTGACGATACGGGCCTTAGAAGGCTGGAGTCCGCTGTGTGTACGCATATATGTATGTGCATGTCATCACTCATATGTCATTCAACTTCCTGACTCATATGGCACCCATTAGGAATATTATTACACTAATCCTAATTTTTAAATATGGTCCAAAATACTTAGCTAAATCGATTCTCTCCATGACCCCTGATGTTGTCAAAAAATTGGGTGAATGTTATGTTTGTGATGAGTTAGTCCCTCTTAGAAACTATAAACATCTATAACTAATATACAGTTAGTCTCCCTTCCCCCTGAGAATCTCGCTGCCTCCTCCTCCTGTCTTTGCACACATAGTATAATTTCTTGTACTATTCACCATGGTGAAGTCGCAATACGCTGGGCGAGACAAGATCTTCTTTTTTCGATGCATGTCTAGAAACATAATTCATTGATTTCAAAATATCTGACTTGTTGCCACCAATCTTAACAAAAACATGCTTTACAATCTCATGTGATTCTGAGTTTTATTTAGCTTGGTAAATACATATTTTAAATAATATTAGTAGACCTAGCATAACAGCGCTTTTAAGAAAGTGAACAAACTGAAGCTTGGGTTAGTGAAATTAACTTATAAATACTGTATTTCGAGATAAAAATAATAGTTCTTAATCTCAAGACCTCCGTAATATAAGATAAATGTCTTATAAAATCACGGGCTGGCATGCTATCAAAGTTTATAAGTATGTTGTCAGTTAATTGTTAGTTAAATTGGGTATTAATTATGACTAGAATTTTCGAAATGTTTCGCAAAGCGCTTTTTTTCTAGAAAGTTTTTCTTCATATGTCGCCACGGTATTCCAGTCTCCGAAATAGTACGACTCCATTTAAAAACATGACGTCAAGTAGATTGACCAGTTAAAGTTTGATACCCATTGCACAGTCGGCAGTGGCCCCCACAATGATACAGCATCACGACGTACCGGCGACGCACAGTTATTTCGAATTAGGAGCACATCGGACTTTTAACATTTAATTTGCCCGTACCGGGATCAGAAGCTTCTTAGTGATAGAACGTATTTGACCAATACTAAAGGCGTTAGATTTACAACCCCCTACAATCCCCAATTCCCAAGCTTCAACCCCTACTAAAATGTTTCGGAAAACGATCTGAAACGTTAGTGAATGAAGTTTGGCATAGTAGTAACCTTGTGTGAAAATCTCATCGAAATGCGAGCGATAAGCATCAAGTTACAGGCGGTTATAAAATTAGCAGACAGACCGACAGACAGACCGGCAGACAGACAGATCGTCTAAAGTGAGTGAAATGATTTTTCGTGATGTACATGTCATATAACATCCAAAAAACATAATATCTCAATTTCGGATTTTTTTGCGATTACAATACTTCCAACTTGACATAGGAAGTGAAATCCATACGCAGCACGAGTTCAGCCTAGGGCTACCAGATGGGATGAAAATAATATCTGGGAAAAATTTCACATAGTCGAGATTTTGGGATTATAGTCGGAACATATGAATCTTGCGAAGAAAAAGTTATTTTTCAACTTGATTATCACCAATTTCAAGTCAAATTGACTCGAAAATTGGTACAGGAATCAATAGCAATACAATAATATTCGGAAAAAATCTGATTTGAATTTTTAAAAAATGGAATTTTGACATTTGAGAAAAAATATATTTGGCTATTTAAGAACTAGGCTTAGGCGATCATTGTACATATCATGGCATGGACTGATATTATGAAACTTCAAAAATGTAAACAAGTACTCTTCCTATAGTAGGCCCTAGCTCAATGAATAAAGAGTAATCGAATTCTAGCACTTTTGTATATTATATAAGTGTAGCATTAGAAACATTGAATTGTACATTGTATTCGTATGTAGAAGCCTCGACTTTGTTGCAGCTTCCTGAATACATCCCTATCCCTCATATCAATTTATGATGATATTATTTATCTTTCAAAATAACTCGGGCTTAACAATTTCAATGTCTGACATATTATACATTTTTGGAATCAGAACTAAAAACCCTATCCAAGTGAACAAAATTGCAATATGGCGTCTTTACGTAAAAATAAAGTTGAGGATTGAGGGCAAGAGACGAAACGACATGTTGAAATTCTAGTTATGCCATCTTGTAGAAGAGAAAAAGTGGCACTGTTAATGTACTATTTATTTTTAAATCCCATCTCAAAATAAAGCCATAAAAATAAAAAAGGTTTAGGGAAAATTTGGTTTATTTCGTTTATCTCCGGAACTGCGAGAGTTTTTACCTACAATTTTCGTAGTTATATAAATGCGCAACTTTGCCCCCATTTAGCCGACTTCGTATCTCTTACCGTTCCCGAGATTTCAATCATCAGGCTAGGTATAGTGATAAATAAAACAAAATATTTTCTAGAGTTGATTCTGACCTATAATAATGTTGCATAGTGGTCGTATGAGCTCTTTTTGTTTCACCACAGTTCCGTTCTATTACCGCTAACATGTAAAATAATCTTTTGCTTGCTCGAGAGTGATTATCTGCTGCGGTAATTCCAAATTCATTTAATTTATTTGACGGAATTGCTGCATGAATGTCGTCCTTGCAGGTACCCAATGAAGAATTCCGTCACAAGATCAGTATTTACCTGAACTCTTTCAGGGGCAAGGATTTTATAAACTTTATTCTGTATTTGGGCACGAAAATAGTTTTTCATACTATTTGTTTCACATATAAAATGCTATTTGGGGATATAAATAATGCTCAAGACTTTGTATATTTTTTCTTTTTACATTTATTTTTTTATATAATTGCCAAATAATAAGTGATACTATATATGCACCACCGCCCTTTTGTTGATGATAGAGGTTTGCTTCAAAAACAATACTTTCTATGAAACTCAGACTCAGACACTCAGAAAAAATAATTGAAACAATTTGTATGGTATTGGATCTATCATATTTGTCACACAATCTACTAGACCAGAATATGCACTAAAGTCTGGAGGTGGTGGCGGTGTTTCCACATTAGACCAAACTGGAGATTTTCTTCCAACTGGTGAAGCAGATGCAGCTAGTTGCAGTCTTCTACCGATAGTTGACAAGATCATCTTCAGAGTCACTACTTGATCAACACGTTGCTTCCAATAGTAGTTTCTGTATCACTTTCTTGATCGTCTCTGTTACTGGCTTACGATTCAAAGTCAGATGGAATTTCTTCAGCGTTTATACGGCTTTGTTCCATTTCTGGATAAATGTTTTCGATTGGGGCGTATAATTCACCTTCCGTGATATCGACTAACTCAAATGGTAAGTCAGACATGTGTCTGAAAATAAAAAAAAACCAAGATGAAAAATAAAAACGTAATGTGTGCGGTGGTACGCATAGAGTACCAGTAAATATGAAACAGAGATCTTTTTCAAATAAATATAGGATACAATAATAACAAAATAACTTTAGTAACATAAGTTCATCGAAATGAGACAATGTTACCTACTTTTTTAGTGTTTCCCTACTCACAGCTGGTATACTATATACTCTTGACAAATGAATCATAACCTTACTTTGCTTTCGCAGGCGGTATTCCGCACGGATATTATGTAAAAAGCCTGTAAAACGTCAAAAAAACCTATTAAATGTCATCTTGCAGACTAGGTAGTTTTTAGGGTGCGAACTGTTATTCCACGTTTGCTAACTAGGATCGTTGTGAGCGTCCATCTATGGAGGAATTACTCAATTAAACGACACGCATTGTTTGTTGCATATGTTTTGTGAAGTCGCGTAATCTGTAGTTTTTATCTCTGAGAAGTAAGTTGGTTGAATAGCAAGATCGGATCTGGATGATTATGAGTCTGCATGATTTTCTGTGTGAGAATATGCTGCCAATGAAGTATTTATATAAGCTGTGCTCGACGGGTTATTTGTGTTGTGCTTTCTGAAGAGAGGTTATGTTCAAAGTTATAATAATAATAATAGACGTCTTTATTTATCCACAATTACATTGTAGTACAGCCAAATGTCAGACTTACATGGCGAAGTTTAGTATGCTGCTACTCTTACACTTAACCATATAGTATCTAGCAGAAGTTCAAAAGAATACACTATCCACACACAGATTTGGTTCATTACATCGAAAGTAAAAATTAAAAAAAGAGAAAAAGGCGAACTTTCCAAACCCAAGTACACCAAAAAAATATTAATCTGAGTTAAAGACGGAATAAAAAAGAAATGAATGATTACGTAAATTATTTGTTTGGTGGGTTGAGTAATAATGTTTTAACTTTTTCTCGAAAGGCAGGTAATGAAAATTCTTAATATACTTTAGGAAGGTCATTATAAATAATAGCAACATTGTAAGAAAAACTGCGTTAAAAAAGTGTAGACGTATGCAGGGATATTCTAATATTATTTTCTCTGAGAGTTCTATAGTGAACATCATTATTAAATGAAATTTTTTCCCTCAAGTAATAAGGTTTAGACGTGAGCAGCAATTTGTGAACAAAAACTGAATAGTGATACTTGACCATGTCATTAATTTTTAACCAGTTTAGAACGGGATATTTCGCTGATACATGATCAAATTCACGTAAGCCAAAGATGAAACGTATACAATTGTTTTGAATAGCTTGAATAACGTTTTTAGTGAAATTGTCTAAACAAGTATAGTACGATATTACAATAATTTAGTATAGGTATGACCAATGCTTCACATAGTTTTTTACGCAACTTAAAACTTAGTAAATACCTGTTTGCTATAAGAGTACGCAGCCGTAGCTAGGTTTTCTGGGAAAGACTTTTAACATGTTCAATGAACCTTAATTTTGTATCAAAAACAACACCAAGAATTTTTGCAGAATCATAAAATTGCAAGATTTGGTTATTTATCTGAATGTTCAAGAGCTGTGTTACATTGTATGTTTTTCTTTGTGCGCAAAATAATAACATTTTAGATTGTGATCCAAAGTGTATTCAATTAATCTACTAACATCGTTTTGTAAAATTTGAGTAGTATTATTGACATTATCTGGGTTAAAATAGTGGAGCAGTTGCGTATCGTCTGCAAATGACTGGTCATGAGAATTATCAATACATTTGCTCAAGTCGAACGTATATATGAGGAACAGAAGCGGCCCCAATATAGAGCCCTGAGGTACGCCTGAGGGAATTATTGTCACTTGAGACATTTCTTGAGAAAAACACACTGAGTTCTTTGATGAAGGTAAATGTCGAAAAATGAAAGGGATACACGGTCAAGACCTATGTAATTTAATTTAGCAAGTAATAATCTATGATTGACGCTGTCAAAGGCTTTCGAATAGTCTATAGAGATTAACGCTAGTGCCATTTTCTTATATAAGGCACTTAAAATATTGTCTTGCAGATTGAGTAGGGCAGATGTTGTACTATAATTTTTTCTAAAACCAGATTGAGTGTCGGGAAGTATAAAATATATGTATTCTAGGTAAGCGGTCAATTGGAACTTAATAATTTTTTCAAAAATTTTGGATAAAATTGGTAATAAACTGATAGGTCTGAGATCATTATACTCAGTGGGTTTCATTTTTTTAGGAATTGGAATAATTAGAGCTTGCTTCCATGTATCTGGAAAGTAGCCTATTTCCCCACAGTCGTTAAAGATGTGGACGATGTGATGGAGAATAACTGGCAGGCAAAGCTGGATCATTGACAGGGATATTCCATCAATTCCCTTCGCATCAGATTTTAGGCTCCCTATTGCCTGTAATACGTCATTTGAACTAATCTTATTCAATGAAAAAATATACTCAGAGCTTAATTTATTTTTGAAATAGTTCTCGCAAACTAGTGAATCAACAGGTTAGTACCTATAAACAGACACAAAATAATCATTAATTTTGGTAGAGTCATTAAAACTTGCTGGAAGGGTTGGTTTACTACGAAACTTTATATCAAGTTGTTTGAGAGACTTCCACAATTTTTTGCATCATTTTCATTTGCCAAGTTTTCGATATATGTCTTTTTGTACCTCCTGATCATGTTAAGCGCACGGTTTCTAAGCGATTTGAAGTTATTATAGGCCTCCACGGTCTTATTAGCTTTATATAAAGCATCATGAACAGTGCGCTGTTCATTAGTTAACCAAGGTGAAGGTGGCTTATTAACTCTTACAGTTTTAAAAGGTGCATGTTTATTATATATTTCCACGATAACGCTTGTAATGTGCATTACCTTCTCATCAATATTAGATTTCGTAAATTATTCGTCTATGCCCGATGTAGAAAGATCGATAAGAAAATGATCCTCACTGAAATGTTTAAAATCCCTGATTGTGATAAATTTTTGTTTTCTTTTATAAGATGGAATATCAAAATGAAAAATACTAGTTTGTGGTCCGAAATACCATTCGTGTCCATGACGGAAGAATAGCTGCATGTTTGAGGATTATTTAAAAATATCGGATCGCTTAATGTTGCAGTATCTACTATCTGTGACACGGGTGGCTTCCTTTACGATTTGTGTGAACCCCATCATCTCAAAACTCAGTGAGAATATATTCTTATTAAAAAAATTATATTCAGATCTCCCAATACCACGATGTTATGATGATATAACGAAAGGTTGGGTAATAAACCTGCACATTGTTGTATGTTTTGAGAGGGTGGTCGGTACAAAACACCTACTATACATCATCAGTAATATTTTCATTTAACCACGTCTCTGTAACAGCGAATACTTGCATCAAAATTTTCTAATGCTATTAAATTTACAAAACTAGACATGAGGGAGCGTACATTCAAATGTCCGATTTGCATCTTACTACCAGCCATTAAGAGTATTTGAATCGTACATAATTTAGAAAAGATTTTGAGTATTCTAAATAATTCTAAAATGATCAAAATAGAATTCGTGAGAGGTGTCTTTGTTGAAAGAATTCATACACTGGGCAATTTTTGTCTGTCGGAAGATGACCGGTACTGTAAGATTTTTTATACTGGTGATATGAATACAAACAGTTGCAACATTTTGAATGCGTCTGCTTTCAAAAGGAGGTTTCATGGTTTTCTCCACACTGAGCACAGACTTTAGGATTCTGGTATTTTTTTCCAGAGTGATTAACTCGGAAACAATTTGTGCACTAAGACACTTCATTATTTTTGTATACAGATACATTTTGAAGTCCTAATAGAATTTTTCCATTACAAGCTTCATAAATCTGTTTAAATAAATTACCTGTGACCTCTGCGTAAATAATATAATTTTTTTTTTGTGCAATATACTTAATAAAATTTATCTTAATATATTTTTTTTCTATGAAATTTTCTGTCTTGTGATGTGTTCTACTACCTCTGCCTCGGTAATTCATTCATCTGTATGGTAGCCCACGATTTTGATTTTAATTCTAAACATTTTCGGTTCAGACACCTGGTACGATGATGTCAATTTTTTCTGAATTTCTTCCTTTAACTGGGTATGATTACTTTCATGGACCCTAATTTCCACACCACGGTTTCCAAAGTTCTTCACGTCCTCAATTTTGATTTGAAGTTTGGACAAGCTTAAGTTTTTGTCTAGATCTTTACGCGTCTTGAGGCTTGTTTGTTGCTGGCTTGGTATAATCACTATGCTTTCTATGGGATTTCCTTGATTTTTGTAGCATAGGTCTTTTTACAATTTGCGAATACGAAGTGCTTGTCATACTTGATTTTTCAATTATGTTCTGGTATTCAGTTTCTTGAGCGCGTCAACCACAGTTTCCTTTTCAGTAATACTTGTCGACAATAAATTCAACTGATCTTGAAATCTAGTGTTCTCGATCACAAGTTGCTCAATCAATCTATCTTTTTCTATTAATAACTGACTGTATGAATTAACTTTTTCACATAACATTTTTATTTCCAGTTTTAACTCCTCATTTGTTGTTCTAGGGCACTTACTGTTTTTAGGTGTTTACGTTGGTGCATCACGTGGTTTGGTTTCCACCATTTTAGCACTCTCAGACTTAGCTAAAGCAATCTCAGCAGTTTTCTTTTTTTCCTTGTTCATGGAGTACCCATATTTTTCGTTAAGCTGTAACGGCTCAATATACAAAAACGCTCAACTTTGACAGAATACCAGTTTCCCAGGTTGGAAGATAGTAAATTTATACACGATGACGTACGCATAATAATGGATCACGACGTGTTTGGGATTAAAGCAATTTTCTTCAAAAGAGAAATTGAGTCTGTCGTTATTACTTGTAAGGGAATTACACCATACAAGCTGTACTTTCCCTACTAAATTACCGGTAATAGAAACAAAATCTTCATCTAATATACATTCCTTAATTATATATGACCTTTTCTGCTC